GTGCAAAGAAGTGTAGACACTGTGGTTAGGTGTTGTCAGGCATGGCTTCGAGAAGGCCGTACGCAAAGAGCAAGGGGCACTGGACGCCGCCGTAGAACAACACACCGTGAAGATCGCCGCCTAAGATTATTGGCCTTAAGGGACCGTTTCTCCACTACCAGGTCCACTGCAAATGAATGGTTTGCAGAACACGGAAGACCTATTGGCATGCGAAGTGTTTACCGACGAATGAGAAGTTTTGGCTTGTTTTCATACCGGCCACACTGGGTCCTCCCTTTAACTCGGGAACACCGACGTAATCGCCTTGGGTGGTGCAGACAACGGTCACTCTGGGATCAGGAATGGAACAGTATTGTCTTTAGTGACGAGTCTCGATTTTGTTTAGGCGTGCACGATGGTCGTGCCTGGGTTAGAAGGCGACGTGGTGAAAGGAGGAATCCACAGTTTTTTGTTGAAAGACATGTTCATCACACTGTTGGAGTTATGGTTTAGGGTGCTATAGCTTATGGTTCCAGGTCACCTTTAACCTTCATCAGAGGTAACACGAACGCGCAGCGTTGTATCCACGAAGTTCTAGAACCCGACCTTTTACGCTATCTTGACACCCTGGCAGATCCAACTTTCCAACAAGATAATGCCCGACCACATGTTGCAAGAGTCACAATAGACTTCTTTCAACATAATGTTGTCACATTGTTACCATGGCCACCAAGATCTCCCGACTTATCCCCAATTGAGCACGTGTGGGATATGATGTGTAGGAGATTGCTCAATTTGCAAGGTCCTCCTCAGACTCTAGAAGCACTTCGCGAGGAGTTGGTGGTTGCCTGGAATGAGATACCACAGGAGGACATTGACCACCTGATCAGAAGCATGCCTAGGCGCGTTGGAGAATGCGTAGCACATCAGGGTGCATCCACACATTATTAAAGGTCAAAGGGCTTTAAAGCAGTGCAATCATTTTGAAATTTTTATCATCTACTTATTATGCTTCATTAAGTACGTATACAAAATTTTATTAAAATAAAACCATCTAAACTGGGTGTTCGGATTTATATGTCACTTAGTATATTATAAGAGATCATGTATGGATAAGCATTGAGTGTCCTTAAGTACAGATATCTTAAAAATCTTTTTTGCACCCTTTCGATCATATCAACATGCTCCATTGCTTTGGGTGCCCAGACAATAGAGGCGTTCTCCAAAACAGGTCGGACCAGTGACTTGTACAAAAATATTATAGACTTAGTTTCCTTAAAGTGCTCTGTATTCCTTATAACAAAACCAAGGATCCTATATGCTTTGTTTACGATAGTTTCATAATGCTGATTAAATTTTAGGTTGATCTGAAAGCAGACCCCAAGATCCTTACATTCACTTTCCCTACTTAGCAATAAGTTATCAATTTTATAATTAAAATTCATAAATTGTGCTTTTCGTGTAAAAGTTAAACAATGACATTTGGCAATATTCCACGACATTTTATTCTCCTTGAACCACTGGGATACTGAATTTAAATCAATTTGCATCACTATGACATATTTGAAGAAACGGGGAGCATAACTGATTTTGAGCAGAGCCGGCCAAGTCCATAACAGGACCAATGCCAAACAAGGTGGTGGACTGGGAGATGAAACGGCGGTGCATGCAGGCTCGCCAACCGCCAGCGTCCTGGAGTCCGATCACATGGAGTATGCGTGAATGGGTTTCGGTTTTGTCCCTTTCTTCGATAGGTTATGAATTTTGATGCTAATCTGGATAAAGTAAACGCTTTCTTAACATCGCTTGGATCATTGACCAGGTCAGGTTAAAAAACGCTTTCATAGCTCGAATTATGTATCTACCGAACGACCGGCACGAAAAGGATTCAGAGACAATTTCGGAGGGTTTTGTAACAACCAAAAATATTTTGGTGGATGGACAAGAATATTTAATGTTATTATGAAGCTATGAAGCAAATACGAGTAATTATCACTGGACAACAAATTTTAGTTTTTTAATTGTAATCTTGTGGGAAAAGTGCACTTCTTTGTTAATTTCGGGGCGCTGAATCCAAAAATGACAATGAAATAAAAAAATTAGTTGCGGTTTAGAAAAAAAAAATTTTATTTTTAAGGATATATTAAAAAAAGTAACAAGATTCATATACTTATAAGAGTCACTATATGCGCTGTCTTTTTGCTGTTCTTTTATGGATCGTTTCTTGAGCATCTCTACCAAGAGTCCTACAGTAGTCTGCAAGCATGGAAGGATTCCAATTTCCCTGATAACAACCATTGTTGAAATACCCTGATGAAAACGTTCGCCGTGCTCATCACTTACGGCTCCGCAATTGTCAGGAAAAAAGTCCAGGTGTGAGTATAGGAAATGTATCTTAAGAGACATATTACAGCCCATCTTTTGATACGATGTCAGCATATTTTTGACAAGGGTTTTATAGTTGTCAGCTTTTCTATTTTCCAAGAAATTAGTGACCACCAGACGGAAATCATTCCAAGCAGTTTTTTCAATACCTCTTAAAGTGTTTTCAAACAGTGTATCTTTCAAAATATTTCGAATCTGTGGCCCAACAAAAATACCTTCTTTAACCTTTGCCTCACTTAGTCTTGGAAATTTCTGACGCAGGTATTGAAAAGCTAACGCCTTGACAAAGTTTTTCATTAGGCCCAACTTGATATGCAGTGGTGGTAATAAAATTTTTTTCGAATCTACTAATGGCATATGCTGTACATTTTTTAATGACCTGGCTCTAGGAATTGACGAATAGGCCAGTTTTGTCTGGTGTAATGAAGTGCCTTTGCCCGACTGTCCCATTCACACAAAAAACAGCAAAATTTTGTGTAGCCTAGCTGCAGCCCAAGTAAAAGTGCAACAACTTTCAAATCACCACAAATATGCCATTGGTGCTCATCGTATTTTATGCATGTCAATAGGTACTTCATATTGTCATATGATTCTTTCATGTAAACTGCATACCCTACAGGAAGAGATGGTAAAATATTTCCAATATGCAATAACACTGCCTTTAAACTCAATGTTGAACTGTCTATAAACAATCTCCATTCTTCTGGGTTATAGTTGATATTTAAAGCCGCCAGTAAGCCGTTAATGTTACTGCAGAAAACCAAGTTATTCTCCATATTGAAAAATGGTTCTAAGTCTTTGTGGCGTTTACGAAAAACATACCGAAACATCGTCTTCTAACAAGTTCCACTGCTGCAGTCTTGATCCAAGTAACTATGCCTTACATTTTGGAAGTTCTAAATCTCTTACAAGATCATTTAATTCTGACTGTGTTATTTTGTGCGGTTGGTGGCATGACGTGCTCGGTATAAAATCAGGATCTCTTGACGTTGATGGCATATCTTCTTCCTGACGAATCACTCGATCGCCATGATCTGATTCGTTTTCTAATTCGCAAGTGTAGGATTCTGGGGGTTTTGGAATAGGATTTTCGTCACTGTGAGGCACAGGTCTCATCGCAGATGGCATGTTTGGGTAGTTAATAACCGATTTTTTTTTCTTGGACATACCTGTGGCTTGTCCAACACAAGGTACCATGCAAAAGTAACAATCATTAATATGATTTGTAGGCTCTCTCCAAACCATTGGGACAGCAAAGCGCACAGACCGTTTTTTGCCATTTAACCAGCTCCTCAGACTTGAAGCACATGTATTACAGCAGATGTGGGGTACCCACTGTTTGTCTTGATCACCTAGTTTACAACCGAAATAAAGCTGATATGTCTTTGTTATTAGTGGAGTAATAGACCGTCTCTGAGACGCAAAAGTCACATCACCACACACGTAACGAAACTGATCTGGATTGTTTACACACTTTCGAGACATCTTGCATGAACGCTGTCAGCCAACTGAGGAAAAAATGGCTAATATAAAACAATATAATGTACTCAAATGTATAACGTAACACAATCATGCCGATTACATCATCTTTCCTTGCCGAATATAAAAATGTAGCACGTGCATTCTTGTGAATTACAGTATATTAACATTGTCACAGCAGGAACACATATAATTACCGTATCTCTAAAACTTGAACTAATATTTAAAAAATAAGTTTGATTCCGGTTTTAGAACATTAAAAATAGTAATATTTTTTTGATTTTATTTAGGATATTTTTTGGCTGTTGATCAGTGATCACCATAATTATTACTCCTCAATACACAGTACTATTTAAACATTATCCAAAAAGAACTTGTTGTATTCAAAAATAATTTCTTTTTCACCGCGTAAAAACCGCCTATAAATTGAGATAAGATACAAAAGGTATTTAAGCTATCAAACTTGTTTCGCATACGGAGCTTTGTCAATCTTTGGTCCCTCAAATTCAAGCTTTCAGATTTTAAAAATGAATTCCGGTCTTTGGTTGTTTTAGCAGCGCTAGGATTATAAATACAATAATAAAGCGATAATGTTCTTTAATACAAGTTTATTAAATTTAACATTAACATGGAATGACACACAGGCATTCATATTATAATTGTAAAGAAAACCACAACCAATGGCAACGCAAAGTATATCCTTTAATATTTTCGTACAATGCCTCGCTTTTACAGGCTTTACAGGTCATTGTCTAAGATTTTTCCATCCAACAGCACTACAGTGATCAAGAAGAAGAGAGCATATAGGCAAATGAACGTCTCAATCCTGAGTACCTGTGTTCATTTGTCATTGTATACTGAGTGGCAGAGAAAAGTAAACACCTAAGTCTGTTTATTAGAATTCAAGAATCTTTTGAATATCGATTTATCTTGCCATGAACAACAAGTGATGAAATGCTCAGGTTTATCCGTTAAGTTTTTGTGGTGGATGCGTGTATTGTTTGGTGATAACGAAGCAAGTGGGGTGCTATTGCTTATGGTAACAGATCACCACTAATTTTCATCAGAGGCAATATGACATCCCGGCGCTATATTCAGGAAGTAATCGAGCCTCATCCTGTTCCATACCTGAAATCTATCCAAAACCCTATTTTTCAGCAAGACAATGCAAGACCGCATGCAACATGCAACCATTTACCTTGGCCACCACGATCGCCTGACCTATCTCCAATTGAACTTGTCTGGGACAATTTGCAACACCCTCCACAGACTTTACCAGCTCTTACTCACAATATTGCAGTAGCCTGGTATGAGATACCCCAGCATGATACCGATCGTGGATCCTCAACACATTATTGAACCAGCATCTGCAGTCAGTTGGCCAATTAAGCTGAACATTTTACTAGTGAGGGATGCTGAATATATGTGCCGAAAATTATTGAAATCGGATAAACATACGTAGGTATTTACCTTTTTTGTGGCTCAGTATACAATGACTCCGAACATGAAGCAGAAATATTACCAGTGACGTAGCCGTTACAGTATGTTGACTTGACTGTATGTTCTACTTAGAACTACCTAGCTATTTGTGTGTCTTGTGACGGCATTGTTGAGTGTTACGGATATTTGTTTGATATTCGCTGATTAGAAGCATGTCTACTTAGTTATCAAAATATATAGCCCTATTTGTGTAGTTACAAAATATATAAAACTTGATCTTAAAAGCGCACATTCTTAGTTTTGTATACAAATTAGGCCTATTCTTCAACTTGGTGTGACTGTGAAAGGTTTGATTGGCTAAGGTATCTAAATAAGTAAGGTAAGTACTCGTAGTCTGTAGTAGTGAAACAGCGCTGCATCAGATTAAATGAATGCGACATGTGAAATGCAAGTACTGGATCGCAAGAAGGTATAATCAGCATATGACTCAAAACGCAATTCTTAAGTACATAACATAAAACAAAAATATCTCTCTTTTAAATATCACATCCACGACAAGTTTAAATCATCGCCAATCGATGGATATCGTAGCTATTTAGCCAGTGCATTACAACAACTCGTGCTTTTAGAATTCCGTTATTTTCTATTTATTTGATTATTTTCTGTTCATATCCGTATATTCCTCTGGATCTTCGTTCTGCGGAGTGACCTTCTTTGGAACCTTGACGGGTGTTTCGTAGCCTTGGATGGTAGCGGTGGTTGGTTTTCCTTCTTGCGATTGATCACCTAGTAGCTTTCCGACTTCTCCACATTTTTCGTACGACTCAGATCTTGACAGGTAGTTGAGGGAATTTATTCCCATATCCTCCTCCACAGAGTTATCTGAAATGACAGGTGTTAGAGAAACCATCACTACTTTCTTTAACCCTGTAATGCTTAGTGGGGTTTCGCATCACCCTAAAGAAAATTCAAATGTTCACTAATTTTTTGTGCATAAATTGGCAACATCGGAGACCCCGCTATGTTCATTTGAGGTTAAAGTGTGTGTGTTGTTGGTCGCACATTTTTGTTCAGTGCATTAGTTTATATGATATTTTATGTTTGGGGTGACGAGTAACCCCAGGTAAGCTTAAACTGGTATTTTTATTTTATTCCACACACTAGATTACGTAATTTATTTAGATGGCTGTCCGACCAGATGGAATGAAGAACTCAACAATGAACCTGATTCAGATAATTACGGCACTGACTATGACGACCATGTTTCAATTCAGTCCAACAGGGAGAGCACCTACTCAACGGATGATAGTGAAGTAGAGAGTGAGACAGAACAACAACTTCCTGGCAAAGTAATAAATGGAAAAAATGGACATATTTGGAGCACTGAGCATCCATGTCGTACTCGAACACCTAAGCGAAACATTGTTTCATGTATTCCAGGACCAAAAGGTGCGGCCAAAAATATTTCAACGGAATTACAGGCATGGAAGTTATTTTTTAACGCGAATGTTATAGATATTATAGTGGTGCATACAAATATGGAAATAGAACGACAAATATGTTGCTAATTGTGGCTTTGTTAACGAGTCAGACGTTGAAGAGATCTTGGCTTTGATAGGACTGCTTTATATGACAGGTTGTAGAAAAGACAATCATCTAACTACAGCAGAAATGTGGTCAAAGCATGGACCAGAAGTGTATCGATGCATAATGCGTGGAACAAGGCTTAGATTTTTGATATCTTCCTCAGATTTGACGACAAAACCATGAGAGACCGAGAAGATAAATTTTCTCCAGTACGTAATATATGGGAAATGTTTATATCTAACTGTACAAAATACTATACTCCTCACAGTTATTGTACCATCGACGAACAGTTATTGGGATTTCGAGGCAATTGCCCTTTTAGAGTATATATTTCATCAAAACCTGACAAATATGGAATCAAAGTTGTAACGATGTGTGATTCATGCACATATTATATGGTTACTGCTATTCCATATATCGGCAAAGAAAATAGGCCAGATAAAGAACCTCCCCCAGCTTATTACATAAGAAAACTGACAGAACCCATTCACGGAACCGGACGCAATTTGACGATGGACAATTGGTTTACTTCCATCCCACTGGCTGACAAAATGCTTGTTGACTACAATTTGACCCTTGTGGGTACTGTCAGAAAAAACAAGAGGGAAATTCCACCATCATTTCTCCCAAACAAACGAAAAGAAATTATGTCTTCTCAATTTGGATTCGACAACCAAAAAACCTTGGTGTCCTTCACACCCAAGAAGTCTAAATCTGGGCTACTTTTATCGACAATGCATTCTGGTAGTTCAATAGATGAAAAAAAAAAACCGAGATAATAAATTTTTACAATTCTACTAAAGGGGGTGTCGATACATATTCGGTATCCCGCAAAACACGCAGGTGGCCATTGCGCTTTTTTTATGGTATACCTAATGGATCAAGCAGGCATTAACTCCAACATTATTTTCCAAATTGTTGTCGAAAATACCTATTTGAACTTGGACTACAACTGGTCAGGCCTCATATGGAAAGACGTTTGACAAAACCAATGCCTCGAAAATTGAAAGAATCAATAATGAATATTCTAGATATGAAAACGGAAGAAAAAGTTGATCCACCTCCAGCAAAATTGCATTTTATGTCCAAGAACAAATGACCGAAAAACAAAAACTGCCTGTGCGAAATGTTTCAAGGGTGTTTGCAGTAATCATCGAGCTGAAATATGTACCAAGTGTTTGAAATAAATGTTTTATTATTGAAACAAAAGTGTCTATCTTTTATATTTTGTTCATTAAATAGGAATATATCACTGGGGTTATTGGTAACCCCGCCTAAGCAAATGTAGCCGTGCTATTCGCCTAAGTGCTCCAGGGTTAACAGAAGCACATATAGCAGAAGATGTTGAGGAGGGCAGATCGATGTTCACGGCAAAATCAAATAGTTATTATCATAACTACGAAACTAGATAGAAGCAGTATATATTTTCATCTGCAAAATGTTGGTAGAGTTATACTAGTTAGCAAATCTGTGTTTCACAAGGGAGTATTTGATATTAATAAATTAAATAATGATGTCGAACAGCTAAAAATGCTTGAGGTCAAATTAAAATATCAGTTTATGAATACTCCAAATGCATACTGATGTAATTTTAATAGACAAGAATGTAAAATTACAGAAAATGGATTAAAAAAATGTGTAAGCTTATAATTATCCAAATTGACATTATAGCATTAATGCTAAATAAATCTTCAACAAACAAATAAACAAATATCAGTACCTTTCATATAAAGTGACCTATTTTTACTTTACTTTGAGAATAGAACTAGACATGCAAGTACAAAACTACCATCTGTTGGGACAGTCTTGTAATAAATTATTTGAATTGTTTATTGCAATGTTTTCACTGTTAAGACATTGTATCAATTGTAATGATATTCTCACCTTCTTTTTCCTCAAATGGGGACAAGAAGTATCCTCTATTGGTTATTGCATTATTGGACAGATTTACGTACACCGTTCTGTCTTCCAGTAATTTTTCCCACTGCCGAAGTAGCTCGTGGAAGCTTGGCCTTTGTTCTGGGTCCAGGTGCCAGCAGCTCTTCATTATCTGATACCTGCAGGTAATTATAGCAATTACGAGCATTTCAGCCAAATACATTAAGGGCCAATTTCACCAACAACAGTCCGTTATTCTCCACCTATTGGGTAATAGCCCGTCAAATACAGCAAATGAGCTTCAAGTTCCAATCAACAAATTTTAGCAACCAATAGTTATGAAATGTTGAAAACAAAATACTGTCGAAGTATGAGACGACATCTTGTCATTGAAACATCATCAGCTTATTGAATATTAAGAAATTACATGTAATTCAGTCAAAATTTAAACATACGTTTGATTTCTGAATAAAATTCATGATTTAATTACTATTGTTGATTTTTTATTCATGTTTATATTATCTTCTTCAATTGATATGCGATTTTACTGATTCAAGATCATCTACTGGTGTTTTTTTCCTATAAACCTCTTGCAGCTAGTCATTAAGCACCTACTTGATGACTGGCTCTACCAAAAAGTTCATAGATATTGCTCGTTTCCAAACATTCATTCATTTACTGCCGCTCATCAGAACCATTATGGCACCTTAGATTGATATTCCCACAAAACCATTGAGGTTTTTTAATATCCATACGTCCATAAAGTTGAATATATTTTGTTGTTCAGAAGCTTAACAAACATCCACACTATATTCACAGCGATTAAGAAATACCCCAAATATATGTCGTAGAGCTACCAGCAAACCTAAAACCTGCAGAAAAACTAGAAATTTGCAATATTTTTCTTTTTTCACTGAGTACATATTCGGGGTTATACTTATATCAGACGTTATATGAATCACAAAACATATACACTGATTTGATTAACAGCTGATTATCTCCTGATATTTTAAAACTAACCATATCGACAAGTGACACATAATTGTGTGGGATCCGTCAACACTTCGTCCCAGCGGAGCAAACCCTGCCAACTGTAGAAATAAACTTTATTAATTCCAAGTCTTATTTTTGTTTTACTGTGCCTGCTTAGATATTCAAATACGGCCAGGAATTATTAGCGCCTGGCTATTTTAGGCCTTCAACAACTCCTTATTTTAGATCTCTCCTTATTTTGTTTTTTCCACGCATTCATGGTAGAAAGAAAAATATTTTATCGAATATCGATACCGTATACCGTGCAGCAGGCACGCCCATCACTACTTTGACAGATTACAGAATGATGTCAGGGTGACAATCGTTATGTGGCAGTTGTTTTTGTTTTTGTCTGAAATAGGTAAGTAGGCTTTGTGTATTCATTTTTATTTTTATAGCGTTTCCAGAATTTCATATTTCGAAACGATGTCAAGGGCCGGCAGTGGAAAATCTTTTTCTGAGAACTGAAAGTCATTAAACGCGCTGTTTTCAGTCTATTTTATTCTATCCCTTGGGGAAGTACAGAATGAAGAATATACTACAGTGCTCAGTGGCTCAGTGCTCGTCTGTAATGATAATATTCAAATACTACTAAACACCTAAATATCTTTCTGGCCTTTCAATTTCGAAACTACCAGTCCTCGCTTAGAGATGGTAGCACAGTTAAGGACAGACTCGGGGTATACGGTTACGGATGTTTGTGATTCCTCTCGATATCGATATATCGTCATGGAACCATCGATGCGTAAAGATCGATGTTCTACGTCCGATGTATCGATGTTTTCGATACATCAATGTATCGTCTATCGTCGCCATCCCTATAATGTATCCCTACCAGTCACTAGTCAAAAACCTTAACCACTAATATTTTATAACTATTTATAATTCTTTTTAGCTCTTATTTTTCAGTAATCACTAATAGTTTTAGCCCTATGTCTACAGTAATTGCATTATGAACCTCGGAGATGTAGGGATTAACATGTTTTACACATATCGGTGTTTTAGGATGGGGACGACCATACTGTTTTGATTGCTTTGAAGAAATTCATTAGCCCATGAATTTATAACAAATGATTACTATTATGATATAAAGAGAGATGAAGAATTGGTTGGAATACATTTTATTTTCTATTTTCTTGCAAATCCGCACAATTCATCAGGTATGTGTAGCTATAATGATCTCATAATATACACACAGTATATTGAACCTAACAAATTTCGAGATTGCCATGAATTAACAAACGACCAAACCTGCTGCCAAATTTAACAGCTAGAAAATCGACCTATTATTTCCCCTATTCCCATTCGCTGAGGGGATAACGGATTGTTAAATGTAAACCTATAACATAAATCAAAATACATGAATGTTGTCCTGTCTTCTCTGTACAAAAGCATCATGTTGGAATCAAAGGTGGTCTTGTTTATAATACAGTCGAATTTTCAACATTTTAATAGAAATCACCGATATTCTGAGACCTTTGACAGCTTCCGTCAAATTGCATTTCGATAAGGTATTTTCCTATTGGTCCATAATATTAATGTTGGTGAAATCGGCCCTAAGTATGTCATACATTACTGAGTCATATCAACATATCAAAACTACTTAGGTAACCAGGTTCTAGAAACTATTCTAACAATTTAAATTCCTTCGAAAAACAGAATAATCTCGTTATTCCATAATTTTTTATACCCTTCATATGAACCCCATATCCTACTTACAGCGCCGGTGAACAGTTGTTTGGTCTCTCCATCCTATACCCTTGTTTAAGCAGGTGGAATAAGTTTTGAACTGCAATCCCTGGATAGGGTGTCGCTCCTAAGGTCACTAGCTCCCAGACAAGTATTCCAAAACTCCACACGTCTGACTTAGATGTGTAGATATGATCCGCTAGCGATTCTGGAGCCATCCACTTTACAGGTACTAAAATGATCAAATTAAAAATATACAAGTATTGTTCTTTAAAGTGCCAAGGTATGCCGAATTGTGAAATGAAAGTCTGTCTTCCAGCAACTATGGTGTTTATGATCGGTCTAGATAAGAATGGTCACCTAAATATGGCTCAACTCAAACACTGCTGATGTATCTTTGATAATATTATAATTTTTTGTAGTATAAACTAAATAGAGAAGATACCTCTGCCTTTGCTTCGCTTTAAATAGGCGTTGTCTTCATAAACATCTCGTGTTAGTCCAAAGTCAGATATCTTGCATATCTTGTTTTCCGCAAGTAGCACGTTACGAGCTGCAAGATCCCTATGAACTAGCTGAAAAACGAGTTATATTTAGCATAACATGACTCGACGTAGCGTCAAGGCAACAGCACAGAAATGACTCACTTTGATGTCACTAAGATACGCCATCCCGTTGCATATTTGCCATCCGAAGGACAGCAAATCCTTTGGAGTCACATTCCTTTGCTTTGGCTCATCGTAATGTACCTCAGCCTCATCCATGCAATCTCCTAATAACTTCCTACTTCTTCTAAGGTAGTTCCTGAAACAAGGTTCTCCATTTAGATACTTTTTTATCGACTAACGTCGAAGCTCCACCCATAAAGTGGATTATAGAGCAAGCAAACGGTGCTTTATTTGGTAAGCAAACAAAAAATCGGCAATGTTCACTTAAAGCTTAGGTTTTTGTGACGCATGTTTCTCTAACTAGGTCTGTCAAGTTTTTACTTCCTACGGTACTGAGCGAGGAAGTATTGTAATCGAGAAGATTTTAGAAAATGAAATATCATGGTTTTTTGAAGTTATGTGACATGTACATCATGTCACTCATTTCCGTCTGTCTGTCAATCTGTTTGTCTGTATGTTTGTCCGCTAATCCTTGAACCGCCTGAAAATCGGAAGGTACCGCTAGAATTTGATGGAACTTACCTCTATGCCAAGGACAAGAAAGTTTTGTAGTTTTTGACGGAGCTAGGGGTAAAAACACGAAAAAATTAATAAACACTCAAACTTGGTTCTTTGACGCTTCAGATGCTCCTGACCATTTTAAAGGGGGAGGTTGATATTTGGGAATTGGCGGTTATATGGTGTGGGGAGGGTAATGTTTAACGGCAGTATATTTAACGCTTCCAATCTCAGTAATCTTATCTATATTTGACACATTAAAGGTTTCCCCATACATTTGAAATAGAAATATTTACAGATGCGTCACGCGTTCGGTCAGAACGACGCGATAACGCACCACCGTAGAACAAGTTCCAAAGCAACTGCCCTAGGATGGATTCTTGCGGCACTTCCATGGTCAGCTTCATTGTCTTTTGCCCTCTCGTCAAAATATCTCTCCATCATGTTAATTAGATCGCTAGGGGTGTCTGGGTTCTCGAGAGATTCGACATTTTCTGCCATTGTGCCGTGATACAGGCATCCTGAAAGTCAAAAGCAACCATATTGAAAAGCTTCTAACTATTGGAGCTAGCTGTATCCGCTGCCTTCGCCAGCTGTCTTCTAAGGCAGACTTTACCTTTCTGAAATCATATTTCCCTCAAAGTATTTTCTTAGCCTACCTTCCATCAGTCGTTCTAGTGGCTTTCCAGGTGAGGCCTATATTTGACTTCCTTATCGGTGGGTCTCGGAGGGTTAGGAACGAGTACCAAACCAGCCTCCTTCCACCTATTTGAAAGGACTCCCGTTCATTCATCACAGACAAAACGACTTAGGGTATCTCTTTAACCAGCGCTTTCACGATCTTGATATTTCAGCCAGTCCAGATGCCTTACCTGTTTTCAAGTGCATTGCAGCTTCTTTCAGCTCATTCATGGTGAACTCTGGTACGTCCATAGATTCCTCAAATTTCCGTACAGTGTGTAGGTATTTTGGAAACAATGCTTCTACAATTTTTATTTGTTGATCAGTATCCAGTCGCTACGAGCCCCTTCCCACTTCAGTTGGCCCACTTCAAGATTTATACCAAAATATGCCTTTATAAACTAAACATGACGACACTATTTACTTCTAAAACAATCTATTTTCTCAAAAACATTTTAGATACACTCTAGTCGTAAAAAAATACATATTTGAAATCACTTAGACCTACAACTAATAGAACAAATCAACAATGTGCGAATAAATGCGCGAAGTTAACAAAGCAACAATTGACAGATTACTATTGGGTAACATCACCTTTATTTTTTATTACGGCTGAAATCCTTTGGGACATAGTGTTAACCAAGTATTGGCAAAAATTTGGTGTAAAACAATACCATATTTCTTGAAGCTTTTGTCTCAGTTCGGTGATTGTACGAGCAGGATGTTGTCGTAGAACCTTTTTCATCTCGTGCCGCAAAGTTTCAATAGGTGACAGATCTGGACTGCTAGAAACTCATTCAAAAAGTCGTACATTATTTTGTTCCATCCATTTTATAGCCTTTTTTGAGGTATAGCACGCTGCACCATCTTGCCGAAACACGAAGTCTTGGCCGGATGTCAAACATTCTTCCATCACTGGTAAAAGCGATTCTTCTAAAACTGCCAAATATTTATTTGTATCCATATTTCCATCAACAAAATGAAGTTTTCCTACTCCTTTTGATGACATACTGCCCCAGACCATAATGGATGCTGGAAATTTCACTTTTCTCTTCAGACAGTCAACATGGAATGCTTAATTTTTTTTGGGAATAACTAACTGCGACTGTCACCAACACAAACTTCGTATAGGGCCTCATCACTCCATTGTATTGCACACCATTGTTGAGGTGTCCATTGTCTATATTCTTTAGCCCGTCTAAGCCCATTTTTCTTTTGCAGTGGAGCTAATAGTGGCCTTTCTTTGGCCTATAAACAAGTTGTGCAGCTTTAGGGTTTTTACTTCACCTTTTTTATAAGAAAACTTACCTTGCAAGTGCTAAATCCCAGTTTGTGGGTCTCTCTATGAGTTGTGAACCTCGAAATTCTCCTTCCAACAGCATCACTCCACAGAGCACTTAATTGTAAATAATTGGCACGCCTCTTTTTCACGATTATTCTTCTTAATGCTCTTCGGTCGGCATTTGTCATATTACTTTTTTCACATATCGTGGCTTAATATTAACTGAACCAGTTACGTTATATGTTCTAACAATATTTCTCACACTGTACCGCTATAAGTCTAACAAAGTTGCAATTTCTGAGTTTGATTTCCCAGAATTGAAAAATTTAATGATCAGTAACCGAATTTTCTCAGTAATAACTTTACCTCTACGCATTTTGAAAACCTTAACTACCCAACTAAGTGACATATAAATCCGAACACCCAGTTTACATGGTTTTATTTTAATAAAAGTTGGTGAATGTATTTATCTTACTGTAAATAAGAAGTGAAAAAATTTTCAGCCTTATCAGTTGGACATTCCGGTTTTTATACTGCTTTTTTTTAATTCACTAACGCTCTAAAAATGAATATTTCAGCCGCAGTAAAGAATCAACGTTGGCGGATTTTGGTTCTTGACATCCTTTACGATCGGTTACGATGCCTAGAGTACGAAGACCTGTACGATTTCGTCAACTTAGTGAGTTTGATAGGGGCAGTATAGTGGGACTTCGGGAAGCTGGACTTTTTTTCGGCAATTGCAGTTAGAGTGCAAAGAAGTGTAGACACTGTGGTTAGGTGTTGTCAGGCATGGCTTCGAGAAGGCCTTACGCAAGGCAAGGGGCACTGGACGCCGCCGTAGAACAACAGACCGTGAAGATCGCCGCCTAAGATTATTCGCCTTAAGGGACCGTTTCTCCACTACCAGGTCCATTGCAAATGAATGGTTTGCAGAACACGGAAGACCTATTGGCATGCGAAGTGCTTACCGACGAATGAGAAGTTTTGGCTTGTTTTCATACCGGCCACACTGGGTCCTCCCTTTAACTCGAGAACACCGACGTAGTCGCCTTGAGTGGTGCAGACAACGGTCACTTTGGGATCAGGAATGGAACAGTATTGTCTTTAGTGACGAGTCTCGATTTTGTTTAGGCATGCACGATGGTCGCGCCAGGGTTAGAAGGCGACGTGGTGAAAGGAGGAATCCACAGTTTTTTGTTGAAAGACATGTTCATCACACTGTTGGAGTTATGGTTTGGGGTGCTATAGCTTATGGTTCCAGGTCACCTTTAATCTTCATCAGAGGTAACATGAACGCGCAGCGTTATATCCACGAAGTTCTAGAACCCCACCTTTTACCCTATCTTGACACCCTGGCAGATCCAACTTTCCAACAAGATAATGCCTTACCACGTGTTGCAAGAGTCACAATAGACTTCTTTCAACATAATGATGTCACATTGTTACCATGGCCACCAAGATCTCCCGACTTATCCCTAATCGAGCACGTGGGGATATGATGGGTAGGAGATTGCTCAATTTGCAACGTCCTCCTCAGACTCTAGAAGCACTTCGAGAGGAGTTGGTGGTTGCCTGGAATGAGATACCACAGGAGGACATTGAGCACCTGATCAGAAGCATGCCTAGGCGCGTTGGAGAATGCGTAGCACATCAGGGTGCATCCACACATTATTAAAGGTCAAAGGGCTTTAAAGCAGTGCAATCATTTTGAAATTTTTATCATTTACTTATTATGCTTCATTAAGTACTTATACAAAATTTTATTAAAATAAAACCATTTAAACTGGGTGTTCGGATTTATATGTCACTTAGTATATTTTAAACGTATTTGGACAGCTGTGATATATAAGAACAATTGTCATGGCTTTTATTTTTCACAGCCACCTATGCGTTATAGACTTATTTTGCATTAAAATGAAAATAGGTTGATATGCTGTAATTGCAAAATGTGTTATTTTCATGCTGCAAATTTGATTAGGGAGTGATAAAGTTGGTGTTTTCTACTATATATTATCAAAATATTCATTGTTAATATTTTAAACATGCTACATTTTTAATAATTTGTGTTTGATAAGAAAAAACTAAGATTTTAATAGTTGGGCCAACTGAAGTGGGAAGGAGCTCGTAGTCCGTGAGTTTTAGCTTTTTCATGGCTATCTTGTATGCTTGACCCCAAACGTCGTTTTCTAAGGCATTTAATAACTATTTCCACATTATCTGTTTAAAGCCCTTCTAGTTCCTTTTAGGCATATTGGTGTTGTTTTTTGTACTCAACCATCAGAACGTTGTCCTTTGTTCCATTTGCTCTACGGTACTTTAGATTTTCTCTTGTTATTCTAAGTCTCATAGTTAGGCATTCATTTCTTTTTTGAGTTATTCTATTATTCCACCAATACTCTGCTTCCTCAACTTTACCATATTTGTGGACGACGTCGAAGGAGTTGTCACATGCTATTACGATATGGACTTTGCCCTGGTAATCATCCAGTTTTGTGTTCTATAGGGCTAACCGCAGATTTCCGGGTAATGCTTTTAATCTAGCTCCATTTATCTTCCACACACCTTCTACGGATTTAAGTGTCTGAAGTCTTTCAAGTTTGATATTTGTAATTTCAAACATAATATATCTATGGTCGCTCAGGTTTTCATCATCGAGTAGTTTCTAGTTTCAGATTTTATCAATCAGGTTCTCACTATGGAAAGTAATGTCGATACAGGATGTTTGGCTTCCTCTGACAAAGGTTGATTCGCCACCATTGTTTGCTATGATAAGACTCCTTGCTGCGAGAATTTTTTCAAGGAGCTCTCCACTTTCCTCAGTTATTCGAGATCCCCAAGTTATCGACTCCGAATTGAAATTACCATCCACCAAGTACTGCTTTATACGATGGTCCACAAAAGTTTCCAATTTATTTGGTCTGTCTGAGTAAGAATCAATTACTATGTTTGGAGTTTATATATATATACAGAGCACAACTCTATTTTTCCATCTCTATCCTAATCATCCCTTTTTGTGTGCATTCCCTTAATATATGTTTCAGCTGTTTGGTTGTATATCCTAACAGCTGCAACTTCGTCTCCATCTGACTTCCATGAACATTCTACTCCGAGATCAGAGCAACGTCAATTGAATTTTCTTTAGAAGACAGTATTAGGCCGAACATAATCATTTATGAACTGATGACTCCGTTGTGTAGAAAGTGAAGAGTCAAACTACCTAGCAACTACGAATATATAGAAGTATGTATTGCTCACCTTAAAGATCCGTACTCAGCGTACTCAATAATCAGGTAAACTGGCCCTCCAATGCTAGTGCAGACACCCAGAAGGCTGATGACATTTGGATGTGATATTTCCTTCAGCAGTTGGTACTCAGATAAGAGGTCATTTAGCTCAGCATCCCTCGCGTCTTCCTTTAGTGTCTTCACTGCTACTGTGGTGTATCCTGAAAGATTTTATTGAAATTATAATGGGTTACAAGCTGTAAGTACACTTAATGGAGAACGGCAGACCTCCATCACAATAATATAAATAGAACTATCGAGGTTACTATAACATACAAAAGCCGTGATCTAGGACTATGTGTAGATGGTATTATTGTGGAATCGAGACTATAAGATGCTTTGTCAGCCTTAAGGCTGGCACAAATACGCAGATGGTACGTTTTGCTTGTACAGTCTTTCGTTGCCATGCAAGACGTAATGTCTGTGGTACCAAATCAGCCGTTTCCGGTGGCGCGTTCCATCAATTCTTTGTCAAGTGTAAAATCGACACGAGGTTGATTTCTGGGTGCGTACCAACGGGCTTGAAGACGTCGGAGACCAGAAACATTACATCTTCCATGACCACATGCTTGACAAGCAAAACGTACGGTTACCATGAGTATCTGTGCCAGCCTCTTGGCACATTCATCATGTGACAAATAGTTCTGTTGGCGCCATCTGTCGGGCGAGTATCGTACTCGCCTGAGCTTATAGACCGATCTCTGCTTTTACGTGAACCATGACCGCACAAGCCGCCTGGCGGCGTCTGTGAGAACCGTGATAATGGATCGCCTTCCAGATCGACGCGAAGTGGCCTCCAGTATTCTAGATGTCGCTTTGTGGTTCACACGGCCTTTCTCGAAGCAGCAGTTGGGACTATTTATAACTGCGCGGGCGGGAGATGGAAGCAGAGAGTACAGATTACACCAGAGCAGAGCAGAGCGAAGTGGAGTATAGTGCAGTCAATGGCGACTTAAGAACACTGGTCAACAAAATTTTAACTTTGTCGTGCCACACGGACTTTTTTGATATTTTTTACTTTAATTGGTGATTTTAAGAAAAAATAAACAGTTAAAAAAAATTTGCTAGACAAGGGTTTTATTCTATTGAGTAATTTAAAATATTAAAAAAAACACAGATCTCGTAAACCAAAAGTTATTTTTTTTTATAAATGAGTTAATAATCTAAGATTTTCTTGAATATTTAGCTTCTGGTTGGTCCCTTTTAATTGTCCAGCAATAATCTGCTAACATATTTGGCCTCCATTTGCCCTGGTACCGCTTTTCCATATTAGAAATGTCCTGATGGAACCTCTCACCGTGCTCGTCGCTGACCGCCCCTAAATTGTCAGGAAAAAAATCCAGGTGCGAGTCTAAAAAATGGATCCTAAGTGACATATTGCAACCCAATGCTTGATATGACAATAATAGCTCGCTAACCAACTCTCTGTAGCTGTCACTCTTGTGGTTACCCAAAAAATTTGAAACAACATTTTTAAAAGCCTTCCATGCGGTTGTTTCTAAATCGCTTAAATTTTCTTCAAATCTTGAATCTTTTATTAACTCCCTAATTTGAGGGCCAACAAAAATACCCTCTTTTATCTTTGCATCACTTATTTTAGGGAATTTTTCTTTTAGATACAAAAATCCACTCCCATTGCGATCCATTGCCTTCACAAAATTTTTTATTAATCCTAATTTGATATGCAATGGTGGTAGAAGCACATTATTTGGCTGTACAAGGGGTAAATACTTTACGTTTTTTTGCCCAGGAACTAACGATGCATGCGTAGGCCATGTTTTTTTTATATAGTGATTAGTTCTGTCTCGGCTATCCCATTCACATAAAAAGCAGCAAAACTTTGTATAACCCAGCTGAAGTCCAAGTAATAGTGCAACAACTTTAAGATCACCACAGATTTTGAAGGAATATGTACTGTAATTTATTTTTTCAAGTAAAAGTTTCATATTCTCATAGGTTTCTTTCATATTTGCAGCATGGGCCAGTGGTACAGACGGAAGCTTATTTCCATTATGCAATAACACTGCTTTTAGACTTGCTTTCGAAGAATCAATGAATAAACGCCACTGAGAGAGATCAAGATCTATGTCCAATATTTTCATAATCTCATTTATGTTATTGCAAAACACCAAATCTCCATCCTGAGAAAAATACGTTCTGAACTGTTGATCACGGTTTCGAAAATAGCTAACTTTTGTATTATGATGTAGCAAATTCCATTCTTTTAGACGTGATCCTAATAGTTCTGACTGCTTTTTTGACAAATTTAAATCCCGAACCAAGTCATTTAGGTCTCCTTGAGTTATCAAATGTGGCTCGTTTACAATTCCTTTTAACTCAAAGTCATCGTCCTCGTCAACACATTCACCTGAAGTGGACGGTTGTGAATTGTTCTCAACAGACGTAGTTGCACCTGGTATTAGTTCTGGCAATTTTTTACAATGAGAGACTGGTCTTATAGCCGAAGATAAGTTAGGGTGAATAACTGTGTTTTTTTTCTTGTAATTTATACCTTTTATGTCTGTGAGACAAAAATAGCAATCTGAAACGTGATCTCGCTGTTCAGTCCATATCATGGGTACAGCAAACGGCATAGGTCGTGCACCTTTCCTCCAGTCAGTTAAATTTTTCACACACGTTATGCAACAGACATGAGGGGCCCAGGATTTGTCTTGATGGGCGACAGAAAAACCAAAACATTGGTGATAACACTCCAAGATTCGTAAAATTTCGTCGCTGTTTTTTGAATGTTAGTTCTCCGCAGACATAACAAAAAGAGTTAGGATCATTATTACACTTCCTCGACATATTCACAGGGTTAATAAATCAGAAAAAAGTGTTCAAATTCAACAACAAATATTTTTATAAGGATTTACTTGTAAGCGTTTCTGTTAATTTACTGCCGTAGTACTAGTTATGAGTATTACCGTATACAACAAATATGAGGCTAATAGACATATGGCAGCTGTCATGTAATAATGAGGGTAGACTGATAAAACAAAATTAGCTGTCAAAGTTCGTGTGGCAAAACCAGTGTCACACATACGAGCCCCTTCCCACTTTAGTTGGCCCAACTATTGAAATCTTAGTTTTTTTCTTATCAAACAGATAATAAAAATATAGCAGAGTGTTATAGGTCTAAAATATTAACAATTAATGTTTTGATAATATAGAGTAGAAAACACCAACTTTATTACTCCCTAATCAAATTTTCAGCATAAAAATAACACATGTTGCAATTACAGCATATCAACCTATTTTCATGTCAATGCAAAATACGTCTGTAACGCACAGGTGGCTCTGAAAAATAAAAGCCATGACAATTGCTTTTATTAATCATAGCTGTCAGAATACGTTTAAAATAGTTTTGGGTAGTTGAGGTTTTCAAAATGGGTAGAGGAAAGGTTATTAGTGAGAAAATTCGGTTACTGATAACTAAATCTCTTAATTCTGGGAAATCAAACTCACAAATTGCAACTTTGTTAGACTTATCGCGGTACAGTGTGAGAAATATTGTTAGAAGATATAACGTAACTGATTCAGTTAATATTTAGCCACGATACGTGAAAAAAAGTAATATCACAAATGCCGACCGAAGAGCATTAAGATGAATAATCGTGAAAAACAGGCGTGCCAATTATTTACAATTAAGTGCTCTGTGGAGTGACGCTGTTGGAAGGAGAATTTCGAGGTCCACAACTCATAGAGAGGCCCACAAACTGGGATTTAGCACTTGCAAGGTAAGTTTTCTTATAAAAAAAAGTGAAGTAAAAACCCTAAAGTTGCACAACTTGTTTATAGGACAAAGAAAAGCCACTATTAACTCCACTGCAAAATAAAAATCGGCTTAGATAGGCTAAAGAGCATAGACAATGGACACCTCAACAATGGTGTGCAATACAATGGAGTGATGAGGCCCGATTCGAAGTTTGTGTTGGTGACAGTCGCAGTAGAGTTATTGGCAAAAAAAATGAAGCATTCCATGTTGACTGTCTGAAGAGAAAAGTGAAATTTCCAGCATCCTTTATGGTCTGGGGTATGTCATCAAAAGGAGTAGGAAAACTTTATTTTATTGGTGGAAATGTGGATACAAACAAATATTTGGCAATTTTAGAAGAATCGCTTTTACCAGTGATGGAAGAATGTTTGACATCCGGTCAAGATTTTGTGTATCAGCAGCGTGCCATACCTCAAAAAAGGCTATAAAATGGATGGATAATGTACCACTTTTTAAAAGGGTTTCTAGCAGTCCAGGTCTCTCACCTATTGAAACTTTGTGACACGAGGTAAAAAAGGTTCTACGACAACATCACCGAACTGAGATAAAAGCTTCAAGAAATATGGGATTGTTTTACACCAAATTTTTGCCAAAACTTGGTTAACACTATGCCCCAACGAATTTCAGCCGTAATAAAAAATCAACGTGATGTTACCCCAATGGTAATATTTCAATTGTTGCTTTGTTAACTTCGCGCATTGTTTATTTGTTCAGATGTTCTATTAGTTATAGGTCTAAGTGATTTCAAATATGTATTTTTTACGACTAGAGTGTATCTAAAATGTTTTTGAGAAAATAAATTGTTTTAGAAGTAAATAGTTTTGTCATGTTTAGTTTATAAGGGCATATTTTGGTACAAATCTTGAAGTGGGCCAACTGAAGTGGGAAGGTGCTCGTAAATAGTGATATATATAAATGTTCGATCAAGTTAAATAAATTAGTGCATTTCTTTTTGTGGAATCCAGTGTTTTAATCCACACCCAAAATATCCCAGAAAAACGATACAATCACATTATTCTGTATAAATGAAGTCAAGTTTTCACGGACAGCTTGAGCTGATATTGACTTCGAAACAAGGCGATAATCGTTATACGGGCAATGAACAGTATTTGAAGTATATCGAAGACGTCAAATCTGCAAAAAAAGCCACGAAGCGTTCGACTTTACAATATCGCAGTTAGAAGCGTTTTGACGTGTGTTGCACTGGTGGCATCGTTAATTGCTCCTTTATCGAATGGCGAGGACCTCAAATACTACGTCAAGAATGAAAACCTCTTCGATGTTGTTCGTGGAATACACGTGAGCATTGGCCATTGCGTTAGAAATAGGATGATTGTAGAAGCTAAAAACAAGTATGCAACAGTCACTCAGGAGGCTGTTCTT